GAATTCTGAAATGGTGATTTAAGCAATTTTGTTTACAAGTGGTACCCAAGCATTCTTGAGGAAAGATGATTAGAGACAACGTTTCTCACTTGGCTAAACATATCTCCTGGAATGATTTAGCTGTTCTTGCTCTCCTGTGATTACATAACATGAATTTTACACTGCTTTGGGCATTTCACTGGTTAAGAAAAAATTGCTTGCACACAGTGGTCATTTTTTTTTAAACAGCAAAACAAGGCTCAGTGCTGTGTTGAGTATCAGCTAGTGCAAGATAGACTAAGATTAAAGGCTTGCTGCTGTACAGCACAGGCTGCCTTTGTACGACAGTCTTTTTGCAAAGTAGAAGCACAGGAATGGCAAATATAGTTCCTGTAACAATTGTTTACCTCAGTTGTGTTTTCCAAATCTGAAATTCTGCTAACTGTATGACTTTAACATCTCAATTCTTTGCCATCTCTATTTAACTTTCTAAATAGGAGAGTGATATTAGCTAATAAAAAGCCCGCTGACTTCCTAAGAGGAATCTAGCAGCTCTGAGAAGGGCATGTCAGCTCTCTGAGCCCTGCTTCCCTGCTCTCTTGCAGACAGACTCCAGTGTTTAGATGGGTCTAGTAAAAGAATGCACGCACCCTACGGATTTGTGCTGGGGGCTCCCTGCGATAGATCGGAAACGGGGATGGGGTGGAAAAAATGATGGATGGAGGCAGTGACATCAAGACAAGCTTAGAAATAATAATAATAAAAAAATTACTTTTATCTCTAAGCAAATGGAAAGTAGAAATGCATTTTCAGTGCACTGAAGAAATCCAAGAATGAATGTATTACTAGACATTTCAGGCTAACCCTTATTATGGAAGTTTTGAAGTTAGCCATGTATTAATCTTTTCAGAGTGTGATACGCTACCACACGATAATTTGGCTTACAGGTTCATACTGTTTCATACATCGAATCAGACTGTTGGTCTGTCAGATTCACTGTCCTGCTTTTGGCAGTGGCCAGTACCTGGCGGGCTGGGGAGAAGTTCCCAGCCTCCACCATGAAGTATTTGTGAGATCGGGTGCTGCTGTACGTGGAGGGAGAAGCTCTTCCTTTCTGGGCTGCAGCACTGACACTGCACAAGTTTCACTTGCTCATATCTTCCTGGATGTGGAATGTGAGCTGCGTTTATGCACTGCCATCCGTAATTTCAGCTGTACTGGATAGTCCCTTAGTGACACTAGTCTTTCAGGAAAGTCATGGTATACTTAAAAAGTGAGGAAATTCATCTCTCCAGGTGTAGACATATTGGCTCAATTCTCTGTTGTCCAGTTACTAGCTAAACTCTGTTTGTACAGACTTATCCTTGAGAATACCTCCAATATAATCTTAAAAAAAAAATGTAGCATTCGAAATACAGCTCTTATGTATTGAATCTAACAGGATGCCCATCTGTGGACATCCCAGTGCTGGTGTCCTTGCATCTGCAATTGTCAGACCTTTTGTTGGCTCCTTTTTGTCTCTTCCTTCTGAAGAAGGCACAGAACACCAGTCTGCTCTGTGGAAGGCCTGAGCAGCTTGCCTCTCCCATGAAGGGAGGCTGAGCCTGGGCCTACCTTGCAGAAGGCAGTCTTCAGTATTCTGTGATGAAGGGCTCGTGCCCATACCCTAGCAAAAACTGGCTGTGGAGAAGTCTTTTGGCACACTCCAAACAAGAGCTTTGGTGCCAACGAACCATTGCAGAGGGTCACTGGAGCAAGTGGAAGAATGGGAGGGAGCCTGGGGTTTGATGATGGAGGTGTACCTGGTGAGTAAATCCGATGGAATGGAATTCATCATAGTCAAATTAACGGAAATCTTACTTTGAGACACAACTATAATTGAACTTTTTTAACAAAGAAACCATGGAAGTGGGTTATAGAAGTATGGAAGTTGGGCATGACGATTGTTTTAGCCCAGGACTGGCTGTTAGGGCACAACTCTAGTGGAAGTGACTGCAGAAATGGTCTTTCACAAGTGGTAACTGGTGATGACGTGCTATAAGGCAGTCTCTCCTCAAACTACCCCAAACTCATGGAAGCACTTCTCTACTATTGTTGACCAAAATTAGACTCCAAAATGGGGACATATTAGAGACTATACAGGGAGTCACAGAAGAGGATTCTGGGTATAGACTGACTACTGTGAAGTTGAGTTGTCTGTAGTTTTGATCTTGACAAATTTTAGAAATAGGGAAAAAATAGTACATGTCCTGGGGAAAATAACATGACTACTGATAAAATGTAGGGTAGGCACAGAGTCCTGCAGATGCTGAGACTTGGGCACACAATAAAATCCCAGGGTCAGACACTGACCTGTTCATCCTTAAATTTTATCAAGCTGCTGACTGAACAGAGGCATTAATGAAACATGGATTCCTATAGCTTTGTGCCTGCAGTTACATTCATTGGTCTCTAACAAGATGCAAACAATGATTCAAGATTTTTGTTCAGTTGGAACAGGACATGCATGTTCATATTCACATGCTGAGCATGGATGAATAAGCCTTATTTGCTTAGAAGGCAAGTAAAAAAAAAAAAAAAAGAAGTAACAGAGTATTGTGGGGACACAGGAAAACACATTCTAATATTTGGTCAATTTACTAATACATATGCTATGTGTGTGTGTATATATATATATATATACATATATATATGATGTAACTTTATAAGTACTAGTATTTATCAACATACTTCTAGTATCTTTTTTTTTCTTACTTTATGATTTCTTTTTTCTTGAAAGATCAGTAGTTTGGCTTTGTTATATTTCCTCCCAACATCTTGGATTTGATCAGTTTAATGAATGCTTTAGCAATTATTTTGAGACCCTTGGGTGTAAGGAAGTAAAAAATCCATAGATGATGACCAATAAATGCTGAATGTCTGCTGTTGGCTGCAACGCTTATCTTCTGCAGTGTATTTTGTGTCCTGAAACAGAGTTCTGCAATGGGGATACACAATCAAGATGATTATGTTGGACAGAGAGGTTTCAAAACCTGCTTATAAACTGTAGTCCTCTGGGAGCACCCAGGTGTGCACAACATGCATGTGTGAGTTTGGATATCTGCTGCCAGTAATCACCCACGTTGTGCCCAATGTACCTGGGTATGTGAGCAAAACCGTTGTGAAAGATAACCCTATAAAGAAGTCACTTTCCAAATCAAACCTTGCTTTGACCAAAGGACTAACAGTGGTTGTTTCCAGTAGATGCTGTAATCCATGTCTGCTGCTGGTTGTAGTGACTGAATCTCCCTTTGGGCAGAAAAACAAATTTTTAAAGTTGGCGTGTAGGTTTAAGATTGTTTGTGATGAATTCAAATAAGTTCTTTGAGCTTAGAAGCTTAAGACCTCACAAAATCTAAACTATATCTCACATTGGGTGGCTTTAAAATATTTTTCAATCTGCTTTTCTGCAGAAAATCTATTAATTTACAGATTATTATTTTCCAAATTCAGGCTTATAAAGAAAAAAAAAGATAGAAAATACTTTTTTTTTTTTTCAGTACACTTTTCTTGTTCAGTAGCATAATGTTTGAGTAATATATATTGCAGTCATGGTTATAAATATCCTGCAAAGGGCATGTATAGCTCATAGAAACCCACTGTCACATTTATGTAAAAATTATGTGTGCACCTGAGTGCACCTTTCTCAAGTAATTGGCATAACCTAATAATTCTTCAGCTATTATGAGGAGAATTTGCAAAAAATCTCTCCCTTTTTTTTGCCCATGAAAAGTGCTGAAAGGAACCTTTACTATCATTTCTATACAGCAGTGATTTTAATAGTATTTTATATAGTTGTGGTGGCTTTTTATCATCAACTGTTACCAGTTAGCTCCACGGCTACCATCAAAATAAACTGAAAATTATAAGTAAAAGTAAACAAAGAAAAATAAAAAAGCTCTGAAGATCGTCACAGACTACAGCTTGAGAACCTCTACTAAGCAACATACTAAGTGAGAATATTATTTTTGAAACAACATTAGGAACGTTCACAGTGTTGATGAAGATAAAACCCCACAACATGTTTCAGCAAAATTGGTATTTCCTTCCTCAGAAAAGCCTTGCTAAAATCAGGGATGGAAGAATCCTTCCAAACTAGTGAATAAAACTATTTTAGGACTAACTCGTAACATGTTGGTGCCAGTCCGTGCGTATGAACTGTAGGCACTGACTGAAAGAACATATGATTGAAGCAGTATTTAAGCCTGAGTTCAGCCTCCTAAAAATACACCCTACCCATATTTGTGTGTTTATGGCAATTGGTACAGAAAAATGTTAGTGGGATGAACCAAAGCCACCTTTTTGCATTTTGATGTAGACCGCAACTGAAGTTTGATACGTTTTGTGTAATTTCAACGCGTAAGTCCCTTTGGTATTCATCATTTCTGGTATCAAATTCTGCATGGGTCACCTCATACCTACCCTCCTGGATGTAACGTCGCTCATGGTGTACCACCGGGTGCAGTGGGACATCTCACCCCTGCCCAGTTCCTGGTGCTGGCTGTCCCTCATCCCAGGGATGCTGGCTGCATCCTGTGGAATGTGCAGGGACCTGCCAGCAGGAAAATCTTGCTCATCTGATACAATAGTGTCATCAACAGTCTTGCAGAAACATATGGCTCAGCATTTAAAGCTCAATTTTTAAGTTAATTTAAGGTTGGTTTCAAGATATATATGTTTATATGCACATTAAATGAAAATGAATATCAAACATGATAGCTTGTCCAGATGTTGCGAATAAATGAATCCTTTCTAAATTGTGATCTAGTTGGTGCTTATATCAGTATATTGTTTTTCTAAAGCTCTCCAGTTTCATCATGATTTCCTTTCTGATGGCCATTTTGATTTCAGTGCTCTCTGAAGTTTGACGATGGAAGTTACCATTGTGTGTAACACTCTACATCTGCTGTGTAACATGAAGGATGTAAATGTACTTCACCTCTGACAGCAGCTCTTTCTCTCTCTTCTCTTTTTCTTTTTAGAATCCAGTTTTTTGTTGGGAAATGCCCAGATTGTGGACTGGCCTGTAGTTTATAGTAATGACGGTTTTTGTAAACTCTCTGGATATCATCGCGCTGACGTCATGCAGAAAAGTAGCACTTGCAGGTAGGTTGACTGTCTCTTCATTGCCACTTGATGCACTTCCAAAATTACAATCTGCTGGCAAGAAAAATTAGGTTTTAAAAAAAGGATTGATACAAGAAAATAATTGTTTATTAGAAATTAAAGTATCAAAGCAGGCTTTAAGTGAATGAAACCAGAAACTTACCTAGGACACTTACCCATGTATATTCAGTTCAGCACATTGCTGATTAGCATCCAGTAGTATCAATGGTTAGTTCCACCAGGATTAATAGACTATTCAGATACTTAATTTTAAGTCCTTTGCTAAATCTGGGGTAGCCCTTAAAGTCATGCAAGATTTAATCCTAAATAACATAAAGCTAAATTCCAGATTTCTTGTCTGTTTTTGTTTTTTTATTTAGAACATTTACAAATTCAATATATTTCACTCAAATGTTTTTTGAAAGCAAGCCTGGTTTTGAAATTCCTGTTGTCCTCTGGTAATTGCATAAATACAATGAGCATTTCAGGAATAAAGACTGTTCAGTGGAAAAAAAAACCAAAAACATTTTAATAGTGAATGAAGATGAACTAGAGGTGCTCCCAAAGAGTGGTATGGTGTGTGTGTGTAAATATTTTGAGTGTTTATTTGTTATTCTCTCATTTGAAAATTATCCCTCTTACTATCAGTATGAATGTGCTCTAACAATTAAATAAAGCAAGCAGGATATTTAGGTGATATGTTTCAAAAGCTTTTTTTTTTTTTTTTTTTTTTTTTTTAAATAAATTTTCATGAATTCTCCTGTTTACCATGCCAGGAGGTCTGCATCGTGCTATCCTGGAGCCCATATTGGTCCCTGTTCTTACACACACACAGAGCACAGTAATGTGCAAAATGCATCTTTATTCCCAAGAAGGTGATTAGGCTGATGATGTATTTACTCTGAGCATTGCAGCTTTATGGCTTTTTCCTTTTGCTGGTGGTCTTTCAGGAGCGGGCAGCTGTGATTTATGGTTAGATGTTCATCTGCGCCTGCTCTGCTGCATCCTTTAAAAGGAGATGCTGTGGGGAGAGACTAAATCCCTAATGCATGTGTGGGTGTGTGAGCAAAGTAAACCAGGGATGAGGGCAACAAGAAATGGCCAAGATACAAGTTTGTGTAAGTTTTCCCTTCACACAATCAGGCAGTGACCAACTCCAGGGCTGCACACCTACAGGACTGAAACGCTGATGTGTGGTCGCTGCTCTTGTCTGCCGAAAGGGGAAAGCCTTGGAGGTCTGAGGTTGCTCTGTGCAGCCAGATGTCCTCTGATCGGCAGTGGAAATGAGATGGGCACATGCAGCTGACATGAAATATTAACTCACATGGTGGCAACAAAGTCAAAGTACTTGGTGGGGCTGAAAGAAACAGCGTTATCTCAGGCTTCCCAAATATGCTTACGCGCTTCCCTCTTTGCTGTCTGCTGTCCTGTATGTTGAGTTGGATCTGTTTCCTTGTGAGCCAGCGCTTTTATAGTCTGTGCATGTTTAAGTCATTACATAAACAGAATGGGATTGTAGGAAAATGTTGGGGAAATGAAGGTTTAGCTACACCTCCCTTGTGCCTCAAATACTGAGAGGACCAAAAGGTTTAGTCCATCACAGTGCCTTTTATGAATGTGATGGGCTCTGGTTGATACTTGTAAACATCCCATTTTGACCACACTCAAGTGAATCATATGGATGCAAATCTTAGGAGGAGTTATTGTGGAAAGTGAGGCTGGTAGCAAAGATTTATTTATTTATCTTCATTCTACATATCCATCTCTGAATTTTTGAGATATCTCTCTCCATTGAAAGCATGGCCAGCACTTGTTCTGTGTGTAGATCTTAGCTGGTGGAGTTATATTTGCAGTGTGATATTTGGTGCCTCTTAGGGCTCACCCTGGTCTTCTCAGGTTAGAACAGAGCTGGAGAGGTGCTCAGCGTGGTCTGATGTACCCTTCTGGAGAAGTGTCTTAGGGGCTGCTCTCTAATGAAGAGCTTTGCAGCTGTGTGGGAGGGAAAATTTTGGTGTGTGGAATGAAAAATGTAGGTGTGCACGACACCAGAAGTTGCACTTGTAGCTGGGGCTGATCCACAGAGTAAGTGGCACAAGTGAGTGCTAAAACGCACAAGATTTTTAGGTGGAAGAACTTGCGTGCTTGTGCAGCGTTGCTGTGCCAAATGAAAATGAGCTGACAGTATGGAGGGAGCAGGGAGGGCATCTGCAATTGCTGTACCTCTGACGTTCAATTAACCGTGCAAAAGCCCCTGCCTGGAGGTGCACCGATAGATTAACCAGCGCCTAGGAAAAACTCTTGTTTCATGCCCAGTTGCCCACAGTCATGACAATTTGTCTTGATGAATACATTGAAAAAATAAACGTCTCCAAACCATTAAAACCCTGTTTAATGTTGCAAATAATATCAGCGTTGTTTGAAATTGTTGCTTATCAGTAAGTTCAGGCTTCTTGGCAAGCCCTCAACAGAGCAGGCACCCTTTGGTGGCTGGTAGTAGACCTACACTGGCATTTTGCACTTGCTGTTTGCTCCAGGCTTTGCTCTCCGTACCCTTCCTTGCACCAGGCTGGGAGTAGCTGGGTGCTGGTTTTGTTTTTAAAGAGGAAACCTGCTTTGAGGCCCTGTTGATGTGTTGCCTTCCAGCTGTACAGAGGGAGGGAATTAGATCCGCTGGCTGAAGCTGTGTACAGGTTGTGTTTCCACTGAAACACTTGCAGTGTGCCACTCAGCATCTCATTCTCCCTTGTTTTGATAAATTTGGTACCAGGATGTTAACTCTGTGACCGTGTTTTCTGTAGGAGAAGACAACACTTGCCCCTTGTACTGCCAAAGCTGAGCAAAGAAACCTTGCTGCACGCCAGTGGGACCCAGGGAGCTGCCCCGTGCTGCCTTGGAGGGGTGCCTGCTGCTGGGCTTGCAAAGTTTTGGAGCTGCTGACACGTAGATCAGTATTTGCTTTTCCTCCTGGGTAGTTGGTCAGTTGTAACTGATGCCTTTTCATCCAATGCTTTTGGATAAACAGAGCTGTTAACTGGATGTGGGATTGTATGCCTTCCCTGCTTTGTCTGCCCCCTAACCACCTGGCAAAAGCCTCACAAACAGCCACAAAAATCTCTCAGGCACATTCCGCAGACCCGAAGCTTCTGTGGTGGTGCTTTTTTGGATCCTGATGAAGGACAGGAGAGTGCGATGCAAAGCTTTTGACGTGGCTTCTCTGTGCCAAAAAGTGCTTTCAGAAGGAGGCAGGAGCATAGGCGTCTGAAATGACGAATGGTCTGTTGCAGGGATGGGGAAATTATCTAAGATTGTGCCTTTCTCTGCGTGTTTCAGTAAGTCTTGTTTCTCTTTGATAAGTCTATTTTCTAGGTAGTAAGATCCCCAGTAGCAGGCTGGTTTTGATATTTATGTCTTGTACAGTTTGCACTGAAGGCACTTGACAAGCAATAAATAACAAAAACATGAGGCAGAAAAAGACAGAGTGATTGACTGAAGAAGTAGGAGTCTCTCCATGTGTACAAAATAGGACAGACTAAATTAAATTAAACCTGTGATAAGCAGAGATCTTATATAACTTATACAGTGAGTGGCGTGGGGGTCCCTTTGGTGCCTGGTAGTAAAAATCACCTGAAAAACATTTGTATCATTCCACAAGCCTTTAAAATGTTTAATTATATGTGAAAATAATGCAAGATTTGAGTTTTACAGGTTTACTGCACTAATAAGCTGACTTTAAAACGTAAAGCTTATTGATTGCATTCAGCAGAGCTAACTGCTATCGTCAACCACTGTTGAGCATGGTTTGTCGTTTTAATGCTAATTAATGACTTTCTGTATTATAAGCCATGTAAAGTCATGCACTTTAACAAATTTTAGTTATTTTTTCCTTCAGGACTAAGAGAAGCATTGTTTTTAAGTCTCAGGACCACAAAAAGAGTGTTCAATTGAATTGAATAAAACACCAGTTCTTATTTTTTCTTGCAGACTTGAGCAGTCTGCTTTATCTCATCAGTGCACTAAAAAAGGGTTAGATTAAAAAAAATAGCATTCAAACTTTTGTTTGTTGTTGTCAGCTCCCATGTAAATGTAGGAAAGGCTATCGGGAAGGAAGGGCGGGCCTTTTGAAAATGAGCAGCAAGGTGCCCAATGAGGCATGCAAGCACTGTGGCTGGTCCCATGGCCTGTGTCTGCTTGGCCAGCACCTTATTTTGGGAGCAGCCCCATCACCTCCCTCGGTCACTTGTATAAAGGAAAGATTCACCGCCCAGCCTTCATTGGGTATTTTAATGCTTGCCAAGTCACTAACCACTGTGCTGTTTTATTGTTTCTTTCAGAACAGTAGACGTAAAATAAATGTTTATTGAACCTTTGGAGGTCTGTGGATCAATAAAAGAGAAGCTGGATTTAAACCACGGAGGCACTGATAACTTTTCTTTTTCTCTTTCATATTCTCAGGGTTGTCTGTTGTAGGTTTCAGCTGGAGCTCAAACTGTTAGTGAACAAAGATAACGGGGTGGGGGAGAAGCCTGATCAATTAAAAGTGTATTCATCCAAGCGTCTGAAAGCTTTTATCCCTTGCTCCATTTTCCTTCGGTTCTATAATTGGGAATTTGCACAGGGCAGTCTTCACCTATTTTTAATCCAGGGAAGAATGACGGGAAAAGCCTGGCTGTTTTCTTACATAGGCTTTCAAAAATAAGGTTGGGAATTTGGGTTCACTTGCACCAGCTGAAAGTCTGACCTGGAAAAAAGTGCAAAGGTGATGAAATGGTCAAGTGGTGAGAAATAGTGGAGTTAAAATTAGACTTTTGTAATCTCTGTCTGGAAAGGGACGAGTCTTCAAAAGAGTTTTAAGGCTTCCCATATTTTCAGCGAGATATCAAAGAAATGGGACATACAATAAGTAAAATGAGGGTGAATTTGGTTATATTTGGTGGTAGTGCAGACACAGTGGGCCAACTCATTCACTTGCTTTCTGTGTGATTTTTCAGAGAATTCCAGTCATTAGTTCTCAGTGGTTAAATCCTACCTCAATTCTAATTGCTTTTTGAGAAGAAGGATTCAGAATATCTTGTGTCAGATGCATCTTGGCAAGATTAGATTTGCATCCATTGATTCAGCCAACAGCCCTTACCTGTAGCAAGTTCTGTTCTTCCTTCTACAGCGTTTTCAGGAGGATTGAACGAAATTTGGGAGGTTTTGAAGGTTTTGCTTAATATTCTCCATTTTCACAGCAATATTCTCATGGCCTGCAGCTGTGGCAATAATGGCTTTATAGGATATCAGCTCTTTTTCCAACAATATGCCCTTAAAGATATGTTCAGAAAAGCACTTAATGAAACGTTAGATGACAGCAAATACATCTACTTTACAGAAAAAAGGCAGCCATGGTTATTACTATTGTAGGTTTCATAACAGCCTTGTGACATTCGGAATATTTAAATGAAGTGTAAATCATAGTTAAACTTTGGTAAATGACTGTGAATAGCATCCCCAATGGTTATGCAGTCTAAGGTGACTGTAACAAGCTATTGCTTGTCTAGCAAAACGAGAAAAATGTTTTTTTTTTTTTTTTTCTTTTTCAGTTTTATGTATGGTGAACTGACAGACAAGAAGACCATTGAAAAAGTCAGACAGACTTTCGACAACTACGAGTCAAATTGCTTTGAAATTCTCCTCTACAAGAAAAACAGTATGTATATATTAGGTTATGATGTTGGGAGTGATAATGCATATTTATTATATATTATAGTATGCTATAAACGTTATATATAGTGTATATACATATTATGTATTATACCATATTATATATAATGTATTTTATTATACTATATGTATTAGATGTAATATACATGTATTATTATAACTCTTTACTATAACTATATAGGGGTGTGTGTGTGTGTGTGCGTGTGTATATATATATACATATATATATATATTATATATATATATTATATTATATATATATTTCAGGTTGGAAATTTTGAGAATTTTTTTCCCTGAAAGAGCAGTCAGGCATTGGGATGGGTTGCCCAGGGAGGTGCTGGAGTCACCGTTCCTGGGGGTGATGAAGGAAAGGTTGGATGTGGTGCTTAGGGACATGGTTTAGTGGGTGACATTGGTGGTAGGGGGATGGTTGGACCAGATAATTTTGGAAGTTTTTTCCAACCTTAATGATTCTATATATAAAGTATTTAATAGACTAAGATGTTCATTTTGACATATGGGTAAATTTTGGAGCAAATTTTGTTGAAGAAAAAGGTATTTTTCTCGCCAATGATCAAGAAAAGAGCTTATGTTTCAGGACAAGTGTACGGATTGCCAAAGCTAGTATGTGTTTCCTGGTGTCTCAGGTCACAATCCATCCTTCCAAAAAATAATAATTTTGAGGAGTTGTATTCCTGAAGGGAATCTTGACTGGGTTAAGTGAAAAGAAATTCTGAATGAAATTTCCCCTCAGGAAACATCCCCAAATGTCTGCAGGTGAGAACCCACACCCTGATTTGCGAGTGGTTGCTCCCAGTGGCAGCAATGTGTGCCTGCAGAAAGCACTGGTGAGCGCTGGGGGAGATGCTGAGTATGCCTGACTGCCCCTTTTCACTGCAAATTCACATAAACCCTTCATGACATTGAAGAGAGCAGCCAGGATACCTCAGCTTCTGGAAGAGTACTCATGCACTTATGCTTTATTTCTACTTCCCCTTTCTAGCCTAAATTTTCCCTTATGTGCACTTAAACAATAGGAATTGTCTTCAGATTTCTCCAGTTCTGCCTGCTTCAAAGCGTTTTGGTAAACTAATTAAAAAGAGAAGTAAGAGTGCCTCTGAAGTCCAGCTGTTCCTGCAGGTGCCCATGATAGCCCTTCAAATCATTTCCTTTTGGTCCCTCAGCACATGTATGTTCTCTGATTTCCTGCCTCTCTCCCCTGTTCCTGTTCAGGTCACCTCCCCTCACAGGGGGTAGGCTTCCTGGGACAGACTTTTGTTGTGTATCTTTGCAGGTGGTGGTGCTCAGCACCCCCCAATGTCCATGTGGTTGCAGAAGATCCCAGAGACTCAGGGATTTTCCCTACCCTGGCTTCCCTTTTTAACTGGGCCGGTAGCTCATGCTTGGCATGGGCCAGTACTAAAATAAATTCCTTTCCATTTTATTTAAATATTAAGAAGAGGAAAGCAGGAAATCTTTGTCACTGTTCTGTAACTAGCATGTTATTTTTTTTTTTTGCTTTGGGCTGTGGATTGCCTGCTTGAGCTTGATGGTGTTTCAGAGATTTATTGAGCTGCAGTTGCCTTAATAAAATCTTCACCTTTGCCCAGATCTCCAATCCTGTACTTTCTGTAAGATACGCAGGATTACAGAAGGACTTCATGGAAAAGTACTCATTTTTCTTTTCAGTCTTGAGCCAATTCCCATCCATAACATGTTGCCAGCTTTCATCTCCATCACCTGAAGCCCAGCACTACCATCTCTTGCTAACATTGACAGCCTCACCTTTTGGCTCCAGTTCAGCAGCTGCTTTGCCTTGGCTTTGCTTCCATTTGTCATACGCTGGTACTTGTGAAAGAAGCCTCTTCAAGAAACTGCATGCTTAGCATCCAGGCCGAATATTGGAGCAGATAAGGAAATGAAGAGTAGTGTCTGTTGGTATGAACGTACTTGTGAAAAAGGTGGAGTTATTCTGTAGAAAGGCTTGTGTTTATCACCCTGCATGCTGCTTCTCTCCTGCGTGGAGCTTGCAGTGCTTGCAGAGCAGCCCTCCACCCACATCTTCAAACTGTAGTTCCAGAGGTTGTGGGTATTGTTGTTATTTAATCACAAATTTTTCTTTTTCAGTCATTTTTTTATGCTTTCAGCAAAGGGAGATCTTGAGATTTTCAGGCTGCTTTCCCATTCTCCTTCCTTTTGGCACAGGGATGGTTTTTAAGAGCTGTTGTTCTCAGGCAGCATCCATGTGGCTGCTGGCTTCACACGCTCCCTTGGCACTCTAACCCAATTAGCCAATTTCAGGATCAGACCTGCAAGTTCCCTACGAATTTCTGCTGCTTTACTGCATTCCCTCACATACGTCCTCAGCTCTACCCACCCAGCTATTTAGCACCCACATAGACATGCATATATGTGTGGGTAATACTCAGGAAACCTTGCCTGCTTTTGAGCCCCCGTTCAGGTTGCTGTTTCTACAGCACTATCCACCTTGCCTCTCTCTCTCTTTGATTTTTATCAGGGCTGTTGTACAAGTTATTTTGCCTACTTGTGGAGCTTTTCAAAGGGTGCTGATGAGTTGCCAGGTACAAGTGAAAGCACAGTATCACTCTTGAGAGCTGCAGCACTCCTTCTTAGAAGTTATGAAAAGAGCCTTTTATCTTGGGTTAGCAACTGGGAGTTGAGATAATCAAGTGATCAGCATAATGGCTCTGGAATTACCTCCGAAAGCAGTCCCCTGTCTCCCCAACCTCTCCAGTTCACTTTCAGTGAGTTACTGCTTTAATCCCAACAGAGCAGTGCTGAGTTTTGCCATGAGCCCCTGTGGATTTTGACCTTCCCTACAGTAGCCCTGCTCCAAATGGGTTTTGTTGCCCTCTGGGCATCCATCCCTGGCGCAGCTCCCAGATGTGGTGCATTAGAGGAGATTCGGAGGGGCCAGCTGTGCCCTGGGATAGCAGTGGGCAAGCAGCTTGTTTCAACATCTCAGTTGAAAGTCCAGTTTTTAGCTCCTGAGCACCTGCAGGAGCCCTCTGTGGGCAGTGAGGCTTTACCACAAAACCATTCTAACCACTCCGACACGGTAAGCAGTTTTCTGGCTGTTCGTTTGATGAATGGTATTATCTGAAAATTATTTTCTATTTAGTTCAAAACCCAGGTATAGATAAATGCACTGCAAGTTTGCTCCACTCATTGAGACAACGGGGAGATGGAGGGTATGACCTGAAACACACAAGGAAATACTATCTCCATATTTGTCCAGATAGACCATTTTAATTTTATGTCTGAATTAGTTCAGGCCCTCTCAAATAACAGAGCAACATCAAATTTGGAGCATTTTACAGTATAGTCTAGCAGTTTTGGTTTTGATAGCTCCATATTATGTAAAGAAGGATTCAAAGATATCCTCAGTATATTTTTTTTTCTCGCCTGACTACCCTGCAGATATCGGGTTTGTGAGACATGATGGTAAAACCAAGAGCAAGAGGGGAAGAGTCATTATCTCAGGGTGTTCTATCTCTGGTTACTCTGGTTATCTCTGGTTATCTCTGACTATCAGTTTGTCAGTTTGTTGACTTTTCTCCATTTTAATGAATCTGTAAAAAATAAGAATGTGTTGTTTTCTGTTGAGGAGGTAAAATTAAAGGTCCGGGACATGTAGAAATACTTCAACGTGATCCTAAACAATGTGCGCATCATATGATGTATGAAGTATTCTGTGTATGGGCTGGGGAAGGGTTGTGCTGCACCACACTCCAGCGTCACCTTTTTCTCTGCTCCAGGAACCCCAGTTTGGTTCTACATGCAAATTGCTCCTATAAGAAATGAGCATGAAAAAGTGGTTTTGTTCCTGTGCACTTTTAAGGATATCACTTTGTTCAAGCAACCAATTGAAGATGATTCAACAAAAGGTAAATATGAAATATACTAATATTTTTTTTTGTAAATTATGAATCGTATATTCAAGCTGAGTCCAGTGACAGGGAGATGTTGTGGCTGTGATCTTGCTATCAGGAAATGTTTTGTCAGAATTTTGATGCCACATTTCCAAATTATTGATTAAAAAATACAGAATTTTGAGTGGAATATTCCCTTACAATACTTTGTCCAGAGCAACCAGCCTTTGTTTTCCTTTGTAATATCACTACTTCTTCACTACAGCTGATATTTGCTAAAAATAGCATGGTTTTCAGTCATTATAATACTGTGTTGTATTGGGAGACCTTTCTTCTGCAGGACTGGTGTCTTTTATTTATCAAAACTAATTTCAGCTCCTTTGTGCTGAGGTGTTGGTCTTTACTCCATTTCTCTTTCTTGGAGATGAGATGGGAAAGAACAGCCCAGCTGGGTCTCTTCTTGCTGGTCAGCAGTGATGTCTGCGTGGCAGTGGGTATTCTGCCTGGTATTTAACAGCTGCTGCTGGTGGTGTTTGCTGAGGTGTGTGATGCTCTCATCACCTGATGACCTGTGCTTCACAGGGAGAATTTGTAGGGAAAGGATCTAGCAGCACCCTTGCCTTTGTAGGATGTGTTTGGTGTCAGGTTCATACATGTATTTCTCTGGGTAAAATAATGCATGTTTCCATAAAGAAAGGCAGAAGATCCATATGCATCTTCTCCAGGAAGTTCCCTTCTGGTAATTAATTCCTTGTTCTGTTTTCCGTTCCTGCTTGGAGAAGGCTTGATTTGTCACTGAGAGCAATGTGCCCTCTAAGCCATCTTGTGTAGAATATAACCCTGTGTCATTTGAATGCAAACAGGATTTAAACTACTTTCTGATGATATAGATAACACTTATGTGCTTGGATAAATGACAAGTAGATTTATAAAGGCAGATCTCAAATAAAATGAAAGGCCTCTCTTTGGGCTGACATCAAATATGAGATTTTTTTGCCTCCAGAGTATTATCTGTAAAGTTGTAAGATCCTGATGTAGGAAAACCTTCTCAGCCACCGTAAGCCTCTTTGCCTCTACAATTCAGCTGGTGTCCTGCAAATGTTCCTTTGGATTCCCAGCCTGGGAGATGAGTTCTTTGGGGATGGAAGGATGTGCTGGGAGAGCTGAGCTTGCCCTCAACCCTCCTCAAATCTGAGGAGGAGCAGGATCCTCCTGACGTCCATTATAGGAACAATACATGTTCCTATGCGAAAGAGCAACAGCTGCAAAGCGAGTAATGCATGTACTGCTGTCCTGCAGTGAAGGGAACCATTAGTTACAATGCCAAGTATTAGCTGTGAACACCGCAAAATATTGTTGTCAGCAGCCGAGAGAGGTTTGACTGCGTGTTTAAGGAGCATTTACTTCTGTCAAAGTCATATTTAAAGCAAAAAAAAACAAACCAAACAAACAAAAAAACAAACCAAAACAAAACAAAAAACAACAACAACAACAAACAAACCAAAAAAAACCAGCCACATCTCTCTTCAAGGCATATGACTGGAGTCTTAAGAATTTCCTCAGGATGCTTTGATTAGAGCATGGATTAACATTGATCAATACATCCAGCAAGCTCCATAATTACAAACCATTGACCTGATTTTTTCAGTCTCCTTTTGTGTAAATCTGAGTTTGTTTTTTATATTGATAATATAGTAAGGAAAAACAAAACACATAACCAAATATTAGCAGCAATTTACTACAAGGATGGAAGAACAGCACTGTTGCATTATTCTCTGCATCTCAACTGGGTGGATCTGCAGGATCCCACTGCACTGGGATCAGAGCAGTGTTTTGTCAGACGTAGTGCTATGAGACATGCATAATTCATTGTCCTTGCAGATAACATTACAATGTGCTTAGAAGCTGTCAGGCCACTTGCCTCTTGAATTATGAGATTGGTAAACATATATATTAGAATTTAGGAGAGAATTTTTAAACTTTTGTAAAAGGCATTTCAGTAAAATAGTGCTGTTGAGTGTGGGATTTGTCATTGAAAAGGCTATTTAAAAAAGAAAAAAAAAAAGATTTTTTTCTTCAGAAATTCTGCCAGGCCCATGCAATACATAATACATAAGTAACTATGGTGTAGATGAGTTACTGTGTATTACTTATGGGAGCAGTAAATTTGAGATAAAAAATTCAGCAGAAATAAAATATTGATGCCATTATGCAATAATCTCTCCATACTGATGTATTCTGCACTGTTCGAAAGTACGCAGCTTTGTTGTGAAGCTGCTGTATATCATGCTCCTACGAGGTACGAGGGTTTGGTATTTAAATCATAACGATGGGTGTAGTGATGCTGCAGGATGTCTGTGTGTCCTGGCTTCTGTAATGAAATGGTTGTGTTTGCTGGACCCACTTGAGGTGGCTGCAAAGGTGTTGGCATCTTGTGCCGGCTTTGCACAGAGGACTCAGATCTGCTCAAAAGTGTTGGGGAGCTTGTCACGTGTGTGAAAAGAGGGCATTAAAAATAAATAAATAAATAATATATATATATATATATATATCCTACTGCAAAGCACATTGCAAGGGAGGAGTGGGATTTTTGCCCAACACAGGCTCAGAAACATGCTTGCTGGGAGGCTCAGTACCAAAACTCTAGTTGGCATCACGGGGACTGGCCCCGTGGGAGCGAGGGGAGCTAGAGAGGGCTGGGGCTCTGTGACAGATGGTGCATGTGTTTGCTTACCTGTGTGCTCAAATGTCAGCTGCGTTAATGCTGTCAGAAAGCAGGCGGAGGGGGCTTTGCTACCAGGAGGGAGCAAAAGCGGTGAAAAATTTTCCCAGGTCACCCAGGAGGCTGTGTTTTTGTTTTAGTCCAGAAGGCTGTTGGAGCTTACAAAGAAAGAACGGATAAAAGGGATATTTATCCTCCTCAGATAAAATACACTGTCAGAGATCATACAAAAACCTTGTGTTCAGGGAGGGGATAGGCAGGGTGACACTGAAGATCTGACAGACATGTTTTCTTGTTACCTGTGCTGGTATCTGTTATTGTTGAGTGATGTGCAGGAAACCTATGATGTATTGCTGTAAAAGACAGAGAATTTTATTTGTTATTCTGTTAATCCCATTGATATAGAGCTGTTAACTGCCATGGATTCCTCCTGACTCTTCCCCCCACCTTGCCAACAGTGTGCATACAGCTCTGGAGAGGTACAAGAAGTGCAAACAAGACTCAAATACCCAAGCAATGTGCTAGCTTGGTTATAACAAGCAGTTACAGTGACCAAGAAGTGCTGTTGTATCCTCTTAACTGGAAAAGTACTTTGAAAGTGTCTAATCATGCAAGTCTGCAAAACAAGTGTCTTGGGTAGAAGCAGTGAAAGCCATGATAATGGAGGGAGACATTGGCCATGTGCTTGATGTGTGCCTGGATGGAGATGCCACCGACAGTTGTGCAGGTGCAGAGAGAAGGGAGAACATCGCTCTGCTGATTTGCTTTATGGTTTCTAGCAGTCTGGTGTGGAAGGAGAAATTGAGAGCCTGTGATGGGGCAGGAGGTGTTGCAGGAGCTGCTGGCTGCACCTGGTGGTCACTGGGACAAAGCCTTATTTTCCACTGAAGGAGCCGTGCTGTGTTTTATCCGGTCTTTCTTTCCTTTTCCTGTTTCTATTTGGTAACACAAACACTTGTCTGACCTGGATTTGGTACCAGGTCGTACCTGTGGTGGTGGAGGGCCAGCTCTCCAGGTGTCCTGCCTGAATGCCTTACACAGCAGGCTGTTACAAGCACATGAAGGTATTTTCTTCTAGAGAATAAAGCCCAAAGAATCTTCTCTTTTATGTTTGCACCATTGTAGGGTCACAGTTGGATGCTTTTATCAGCTCGCTGTGCTTTTATTCTGTCTCAAAGCATCTGGAGGCATTCAGTCCCTCCAAAGACACACAGTGGTAATAATCTTATGTTTATTTGTCAGAAAAGAAATGAAGCCGCTTTTCTGGGCCCTAACTATTAGGAGGGCAAACTGGGCCACTTAAAATTTTAACACCATTTGAAGCCAAGAGTGCTGTAGATTATACTAAACTGAAAGCTTAAGGATGGAAAAAAGACTGGCATTTTTGGGATAATAGTGAAACAGAACCCAGTTATACAATGGTTTTATTTCCTTTGTTATCACCAGTGAAGAAAAAATCTGGCCTCCAGGTAAACTTGAAAGTTTATTTGCCTGGGATTCTCACTGGTTGTCTGGAGTCTCTTTGGGATGAAATACCAGACTTTTCTGCAGCTGGAAGTGGTTGGGAAGTTCCTGTGAATACTGGTGGCAGACTGGATTAGGATGCAACGATGTGCTATTGAGGTTTCTACAACTCAGGACAGTGTGCTGTTAACAGATGGGACCAGGAGACAGCACAGCAGTATCCTAAAGGTTTTTCTTCACTTGGTACAGCCAGACTTTGATAATCAAGACTGTCTGGGACAATGCTGTACTGCTTCCAGTGATATAACTCTTTATGGTTATATAACTCTATATAATGATACAACTCTATCTTGGAGTGTGACAGGGCTATAAAAAGTGTGGTAGTTGCAGAAATACGCACTTATGCTTGCTAATCCTTGCTAAGCCTATAATTCTGATCCTTTTTATCTTTAATAAGTGCAAGTTATTAAGCATATATAACTAGTTGCACATGGGAACTTTTTTCCTTGAGGGGGTATCAATCCTGGTGATAATAGAAGAAGTGGGTGGAGGGATTAGAGCATGAAAATGAGGTTTCTACCTTTAGCTGAAGCACAGTGTACCCTGTTGAATATATCGCCTTGACAGTAATCCGTAACAGTAATTTAATAGGTCACAGTTTGGATATCCTTCCCATGTTTTCATTGCACTTCCCCATGGCTGTAATAACGAGGGGTTTGGTGCTACAGAGACATGGTTGCAGCTTTGTTCTGGTGCTGCTTCCCATTGCTCTAATCAAGAGCAATGGGAAACAAGAGTTGCATCCTCCAAATGCCTTCAGGCACTCAGG